CCTATTCGTCGGCCTCGCTTGTCTCACTTGTCATCAAACCCGTGCGCATCAACATCAAATCGTCCTGAAGACCACCAACCAGTAAGCTCAGCTGGTACACGCATGAACTGTTGAAAGACAGACCTCAGGTCGAATCATGATGCCATCAGATGAGCAGAACAATGTAAGATTGATTACCACCAGCCACCAATGGGCCGGTCAGCTCAAAACCAGCAGCCCACCAGCGAGCAAGGTGGGCCGATAAACCCGCGCGTTGGCCTTTCGTGTGGGACGTACGCGCCTCTGCCTGCTCCCCGTTCAATTCATTCATTCATTCATGATAAAAAATGCAGACCGTCCATCTCGGGACATCCGTTAAAATTGGAACGATACACAGAAGGGTAAATTAGCAAATGGACCCTGCGCAAGGATGACACGCATTAAAAAAAAAAAACACAAAAAAAAAAACAGGCGTCCAGTTGAACCGCCAGTTCACGAACACGCACTATTCGTCAATACCGAGAACAAGTAGCGGCTAGAGCTTTGGGGCCAGATCCCACTGGGAAAGAGGATTGGCATGAGTGTCTGAATCTGGACGTGTTTGTGGCAAGGTGCAGAAAACTGTGATTGATCTGCTTTTCTGCGTCTGTGCTTGGAACACGTCCGGATTCAGACAATTATTCCAATCGTCCTTGCCAGTGGGATCCCTTGGTGTGAGAGGGCTGGGGGCCCCAAAAAAAAAGGAGCAGCTAACCTTTTACGCCTTCTACTGGTTCAACTATCGGGCAAGCACATGTCAAGTGAAAACGCCTGGTACTGGTCCAACTATCGGGCAAGCACAAGTGAAAACGCCTGCACGGACACACGAGAGAACCAAAAAAAAAAAAAAAAAACGGCACCTACAACAACAAAAAAACGAACCGTTTCAAAAGTAACAAGTGGACCCTTAGATGCGGGGGGCAGAAGACGGCCCGATCATAAGAGGGGACAGGGAGGAGGAGGAGGAGGAGGAGAGTGGAGCGCAGAGTTCACAGCCGGAAATTAAGGGGGCAGCGGCGCAAAGAAGCACACCAAAGAGGACTCAAAACTTTCTGCGCCATGGGCGTCTCACAGCAGGAAGAGCACATGTGAGCAAAGTCGAAAGCAGAAGGACAAAAAAGCTGAGAGCACAGCAGATGAGAACAGACTGAACACTGACGTTTGTTGACAAACAAAGCCCAACATGTCGTCTAGATTCATGCAATACAAAAACAATGAAGCAGGTCTGTTCAGATGTGACTGTGCGTACTACTCTCCTACTCTATTATGATCCTCTTCCCCAGCAATGCGGCAGGATCTCCTTCCCTATCTATCCCCAGGTAAGTGCCACCCGTCGACACAGCTGTCCTTCTCCCTGAATCGTGAGACTCAGTAGTGCCAGCCTCTTCTTCCACCCCCGGCGCATCACACGTGGTTCATACCGAAGCTCTGAGAAGCGACCCGAGTCACAGAGACAGAGACTCAGCGCCAGCCTTCTTCCACCCCCAGATTAAGTAACACCAGCAGCACCAGTCTTCTTCCACGCTCGGCGGCGCATCACATGGTCCGTACTGAAGCTCTGACAGGCGACCAAAAGCTCTGACATGCGACGGGAGTCCAGAGACAGACTCCGCGCCAGCCTTCTTCCACCCTCAGGTTAAGTACCATCAGTCCCCACCGCTGTCCTTCTCCCTGAATCCTGAGACTCAGCGCCAGCCTTGTTCCACACCCGGCGGCGCATCACATGGTTCGTGTTGAAACTCTGAGAGGCGACCGAAGCTCTGACATGCGACCGGAGTCCTGAGACTCAGCGCAGGCCTTCTTCCACCCCCAGATTACATACCACCAGTAGCCACCGCTGTCCTGCTCCCTGACCCCCCCAGAGACTCTCAGCGCCGATCTTCTTCCACCCCTGGCGCATCACATGGTGGTTTGTACCCAAGCTCTGAGAGGGGAACGGAGTGAGCTGGGGAAGACATAGCCTGAGGGGATCAGCAACGGCAGAGGTGGTCCCCGTTGTCCGTGTAAGTGGGGGGGGCGGAATCTGTCGGTCGTCGGTGGCGGATCTTTTCCAAACAAGCAGAGGCACGAATGCCGAGGGAGGAGTATAGGAGTATGTCCGTCGTCGCTGCCGTCTGCGAGTCAAAGCAAGACGAACACTGATTGGCAAACAATCGAGATGGGGCCACAGGATCAACAGATCGACCAAGGGATCAGATGATTCCACGTTTGCTAAGGATTCAGAAGAAAACCATGTTTAAAAAAAAAAAAAAAAGGAAGAATAAAACAATATTTACAGGCGAATTTATGTAAAAAACTTGCGAAATTCACCTCTGCCAGATGATCAACAGATCGACCAATGGATTGCCGCTTGGAAAATAGCGGGCCTCGGGTAGGCATCCGACCTTTTCGGATGCCGAAACGAAATGACGGCCGCCGATCAGATTTATCAATGGCAGTCGTCGTCGGGCCCGACCTCCGAAAATTCAGGCGATTGGGAAAACAGCCAGTTTTCCCTATTTTCCCACGCGGGAAAGAAAAAAAAAAAAAAAAGAAGATTCTACATTTTTTAAGGATTAAGAATAAAACAACAACAACGTTTTAAAGCTTTAGGCTATAGGCTTATTTGCCCACCTCGCCAGGCATGCCCGGTCCGGGCACAGGGGCCACGGTTCATCCAGGGTTCACCCGGGTAACCCAGGCAGGCCAGAAAGTGGCCTTTTTTTTTCTTTTTTTTTTTTTTTACTTTCTTTTTGGAGGGCATAACCGTTCTGAGCTCATTTTGAGAGCATATGCAGAATCTGCCCTCAAACTGGAAAACAGTGACTTCCCCTCCTGGGGGGTTGAGGAGGGGGAGGGGGAGGGGGTGGTGTTTTGGCAGCAGTACATTGCCTGCAGTGCTGCACTGCCTGCACGTGGGAGGAGGAAGGAGATAGTAGCAGGAGGTTGAAGGAAACGGCAAGAGGGGAGCAAGGAGATGGCAGGAGGAGGAGAAGGGATGGGGAGAAAACCCGGTGGGGGGGAGGGGGATGCACCTGAACGGCTGTGTAGCCATTACCAAAAACAAAAAGAGTGGCAGGAGGGGGAGAAAGATTGTAACAGGAGTAGGGGATGAGAAAGGCGGGCATGTGGCATGTGGCCTGTGGCACGCACCAATTCTCTCTCTCTCTCTCTCTCACACACACACACACACACATGCCAGGCATTGGGGGGGGGACCGGCCAAGCACGAAAATGCCCGGGCCTCCATTGGGGGGGAACTGACGAAGCACGAAAATGCGCTGGGCTTGGCCCTGGCCCCCCAGGGAGGGCCGCCTGGACAGGCCACACCGGGGGACACCCAGGTGGGACCTCGGGACCAGGCCGGCCGGAAATAGCCTACTGTAGGTCGCTCCATTACTCTCCTCCACATGCACAAGAGAAAAAAATGCCAATCCTCCCTCCTCCTTCTGTCCCCTCCTACCTCCTTTTTCTCTCTCCTCCACTTTGCTGGAGGTCGATCATCGTCATCGCTCATGGTGTGCCGCGCGCGTTTGTGGTGTGTGTGTGTGTGTGCGTTGTCATGCCGCTATACACAATTTCACAAAAAAAAAAAAAAAAAAGCACGACTGTGTTAAGACTGTTTTGTCGTGTGTATGTGTCGCCCTCTTCACCGCTCTTCCCTCCTCCCTCCTCCTCCTCCCTCGATGCTTTCTCCTCCTCCTTCATCGCCATCGTCCTTGTCCTCCACACTGTTCCTCCTCGTCCCTCAAGCTGCTTCATCTCCTCCATAGTCCACCTCCTTACCCTCACGGCCGTCGTCTTCTGTCCTCCCACCTATGCTCGTCGCGCTCCTTATTCTCCTCCCTCATCCTCGGCCTCCGCCCCCTACTCCTCCTCCCTACTCCTCCTCCCTCGCCTCCTTCCTCATCCACCTTTCTCGACGCCCTGTCCTCTCTGCTCCTCCTCCCTCGTCCTTCTCCTCTATCGTCATCTTCCTTGTCCTCCCTACTGCTCCTCGGTGTCCCTCTTCGCGCTCCGCGTCCTCCATAGTCCACCTCCTTCCCCTCACCGTCGCCGTCGTCTCTCCTCCCCCATTCATGTTCGTCGCACTGCTTGCTCCTCCAGCCTCAATCCTTCGATTCCGCATTCAGATCCAACCCCTTCTCTCTCTTCTATCCCTTGCCCGACTCTCTCTCCACATCCCCCCTCATCCCCTCACACTTTTCGCCTTTCACTCTTTGTCGGCTTCGTCTCTCATACTCCTTGTGTGTTCGGGTGGACCTCTCTCTCTGTCTCTCTCTCTCTCTCTCTCTCTCTCTCTCTCTCTCTCTCTCTCTCTCTCTCTCTCTCNTCTCTCTCTCTCTCTCTCTCTCTCTCTCTCTCTCTCTCTCTCTCTCTCTCTCTCTCTCTCTCTCTCTCTCTCTCTCTCTCTCTCTCATGCTCGGTCTCCTCCCTCCTCCATCCGTGCGCATCGGCCTCCCCCCTCCTCATCCATCCCGCATCGGCCTCCCCCCTCCTCATCCATCCCGCATCGCCGCCGTCGTCTCTCCTCCCTCCTCCTCCAGCTTCGATCCTTTCTCCTCCTCTCATCTTCATCGTCCCTGTCCTCCCTTCTCCGCCTCCCAGCTCCTCCTTTCTTTCTCCTTACTCCTCGTTCCTCGTCGCGTCCTGTCCTCCTTACTCTTCCTCCCTGCTCCTCCTTCCTCTTCCTCCTCTCCGCTTGGCCTTGCTCCTCGTCGTCCCTCCTCCCATCTTCTCCACGACCGATCTTCCTCATGGTTCCTCGTCCTCGGCCCGCTTGTTTCACACCAAAAAAAACGCCTTTCGTAATGTGTGTGTGTGTGTGTGTGTGTGTATGTGTGTGTGTGTGTCGCTCTTCTCCGTCCTCTTTCCATCCACGCGTCCATCCATTATCCCCCTCCCTCATCGCGTCATTCCTGTCGTCTCTACTCCTCATCCCTTGTCCTTCTCCCTCCTCCAGCTTGCCATGTGCGTGCGTTGCCCTCCTCGCTCCTCTTCAATCCATGCCTCCATCCTTTATCCTCCTCCCTCATCGCCATCCTTCCTGACGTCCCTCCTCCTCCTCCTCCTCCTCCTCCCTAATCGTCATTCCCTCGTCCTTGTCCTTCCTCCAGCTTGTTCCTCGACTCCCTACTCCTCATTCCTCGTCCTTCTCCCTCTCCAGCTTGTTCCTCGGCGTCCTGTCGTCCCTACTCCTCCTCCCTGCTCCTCCTCTCCGCTCCACCTTGCTCCTCCTCCTCCTTCCTCCTCGAATAGAACGCACGGTCTCTGCTCGTCCGCGCGCGTCTCTGAGATGTGTGTGTGTGTGTGTGTGTGTTGTGTGTGTGTGTGTGTGTGTGTGTGTGTGTGATCAGGTTCGCTATACACAATTTCACAAAAAGAACAAAGGAAAAAAGGACTGCGCCAGACTGTCTCATCGTGTGCGTGTCTCCTCCTCCTCATCGCTCCTCGTTCCTCTTCCGTCGATGCTCGTCTCCCCCCCTCCCTCCTCCTCCGCCCTCTACGTTTTACCGTTCCTCCTCCTCATCATCATCATCATGGTCCTTGTCATTTTCCTACTGCTCCTCGTCGTCCGTGCTCCTTCTCCATCTTCTTCATGGTCGACCTGCTTACCCTCACCGTCGCGGTCCTCTCTCCTCCTCCTTGCTCCTCCTCCCTCCTCCACCTCCCAAGCCCTTTTCCGCACTCCCTCTTCCTCCGTTTCGTATCTCATACTCCTTGGCTTCGGGTCAACCTCTCTCTTCTCCGCCTTCGCCCACTTTCTCTCCAGCTTCGCCCCTTCATCCAAAATTCCTTTTTCTCCCTGTGTTGGTGTGCACCTGTTCTCCCTCTTCTCCCTCTTCTCCCTCTTCCCCTCCCTCCGTCCCGTTTTCCCCATTCTCTCTTTCTCTCCTCTTCGCTTCTTCTCCTACCTCTGCTCCGGTTGATCGACTCGGAATGAAAGAACAGATCACCAAGCTTAGTTGTGTGCGCGCGCGCGCGCGAGAGAGAGAGAGAGAGAGAGAGAGAGAGAGAGTGCGAGAGAGAGGGAGAGAGAGAGAGAGAGGAGAGCAGTAGCAAAAGAATCCTCACGTTGATCGTCCATCTTCGTGAACACATTCTTGCTTCCCCGTATCCTTTGCAAGCTTCCTTCTGGACTGGACTATTAAACCGCGAGCCCACGCCCGGCCTGCACCGTAGATTTTTCTCGGCCCGATTACCGATTCAAAATCGGCAGTGATCAGGCATGGGGGGCTCGGTGGGGGTGGGCCACTTTGCGACCTTCAAATCGTGACGCACTCTGCATGGTTTCGTTTTTTTTTTTTTTCCTTTTTTTTTTGTGAACAAACACTCACAGCCCCATCTATTCTCGGGGAAGGAAAATAGGACAACATTTTCCCCCGACTTGGGGGGACCCTGCCTCCCCCACCCTTCCCCTCACTAAGCATCGGCTCCTGGCCGACGCTCTATGAACCCGTTCCAATTCACGTTTTTTCCCTAAAACCAAGGAGCCAGCTCAGTTGGTACAGCCAATAACTGTTGAACGGTCCTCCGGAGTTCAAGTCCTCATGATGGAAGCAGATGAATTAAACCACCAGTACCTGGCCCAGCTATCGAGTCCGAGCCTCGGCCGACCGGTACGCCGATCCATGCCGAGGCTCGGACTACTGGGGGCAGGCATCCCGAACGTCGGAGTGAAACGAACCAAAAAAACGAAAAAAAGTATGGCAGTGTATATTCCCACGCTATAGCGCCAGATTCATTCGATTTTGCTCATCCTATGGAGGGCGCAGTACCATGAGGCCAGCCGCGACGAG